ACACGTTGGGAGCTGAAGCCGTTCCATTGATACAGTCTCTAGGATTCATTGCGGCGGGAAGCTTGTCTAATAACAAACCACAGGTTTCGTGCCACTGTGTTCATGTTGATTGTTGCGCTTCCATAAAAACTACCATGTATACTGACTACGTAAGGTATAGTTTCAGTCGGTAAACATTAGAAGAGTTGATACATGTATTCACAAATTTTATAGGATGTCTTGGAGAGTTTTTTCTGTTTTTGTCTGGTTTACATTTTTTTAGGTTATTGTGCATCAGTGTTTGTTGGATGTGGGCCTGATACAAAGAAATCAGTAAAAAGAACCTGAAGTAAGGGAATTGTTGTTAAGTGCCATTCCCAAGAGTATAACACTGGGGCCTGTCTGGGATTCAAACCCAGATCCTTCTGATCCTGCTCAACAAGTCAGCAACCCTAACCAAAAGACCGCCTTGCCACATTTCGCTCTCTCGTTGAGTACTATCTTACTGACTTGCTATGCAAAGGACGTTCCCAATGTGTCACGCTGTCAGAGAACAGTGATCCATTTTACACTGCGAAGTCCATTTACTGCAGAAGTAAGATTTACAGGGGAGATGAGTTCCTGTTACAAGAGATATGTGTTAAAAGCGGGACCCTCGGCTATCAAAGGGAATAATGTATTATACGGCAGTCACGACGTTAGCGCAGACCCTGCAGGAGAAGTATGGGGTGTCGTATCTCATTTGGGAACCTCGAGATTGGAGGCAATATTGGACGACTGAAAATATAAGTGTGATAAAGGATAAGATGTATTCCGTATTAGGCTATATAAAGAATGCCCTTCAGGGGGCGGGAGCAGGTTCTGTTTGAAAGGATTAGCTATAGAGATGAAATAATAATAGGAAATCCCAGGTGGTACGACTTTGCTCCTAAAATAAACTGAACATACCTTGCCTACCGGACGTCGTTGCTAAAAATTGCTATTAAACGTCTCGAATACGCCATTGGCTTTAATATATCCCCGTGAATAACAGTATGTGTTCAGAGAATAAACTGGGGGCAGTTTTTATGAGACCTTGTCTGTCATACCAGAAACCATCGTACGATCGCGAACTGAATGCACCGGGAGGGAGACATGTAGTCGTGTATGTGCCGTACAACATTCAGCTGTCTTGTTACCGAAAAAAGCGAGGTTTGATTCTTGACTGCGGTATGTTCTGCCATCCTGGCAATTCTACATCCAACCCGTACGGTGATCTACAACATGGTGGCGTCATTTGCATGAAACTAAGCCTTTGAGTCCCTTAAGCTGTAATAAATTCAGAGTTGATGCCAGAAGCTGGGAACGGTAATCCTCACTGTGTCAGCGTCTATCGTTTTTTGGAAGCTCACTGAGTTTCGTCAAGACATTAGTAAGTGCACTAGCATGGATTGGGGGCTCCGATGGATCAAATGATTAGAAGCAATTCATGCAGTGCATTATTTGGTTTCAGGACCATGAAGTAAATCAATTTCTTTCCACAGAGGTAAAATTCCTTTTGAAAATATCCGTACATGTCTTTTGAATCGTACCGCACTCTCCCTCTTTCATTTTCTATCTAAATCTCTCTCTCTCACACACACACAAGCGCACACGCACTCACTCACACATACACATGCACACATACACATACAAACACACAGAGGCATAGGCACACACGGGCATAGGCACACACGCATACACACTACATACGCATACTGTTGACAGAAATGTGGCTAAGCATTTAAATTCTT